ACAACGACGGCGAACTGGATCTTCAAATAGGTTGACGACGACACTATGGTACAACTTAATGTTGTACCTACACTTTCTAACAAATCCCTCTATGGTACAACTCAAAATTGTACATATACTAATGATACAACCTTAAGTTGTACCTACACTTTCTCAAAAAAAAATTATGGTACAACCCAAACTTGTACCTATACCATGGTACTACTTTAAGTTATACCTACACTTTCTAAAAATCTTTCTATGGTACAACCCAAACTTGTACCTATAACATGGTACGACTTTAAGTTGTACCTACACTTTCTAACAAATCCCTCTATGGTATAACGAAAAATTGTACCTATACTAACGGTACAATCTTAAGTTGTACCTACACTTTCTCAATATTCTCCTACGGTACAACCCAAACTTGTACATATACTATGGTACAACTTTATGTTGTACCTACACTTTCTAACAAATCCCTCTATGGTACAACTCCAAATTGTACCTATACGAATGATACAACTTTAAGTTGTACCTACTATTTCTCAATATTCTTTTACGGTACAACCCAAACTTGTACCTATACTATGGTACAACTTTAAGTTGTACCTATACTTTCTAACAAATCCCTCTATGGTACAACTCAAAATTGTACCTATTCTTGTGGTACAACCTTATGTTGTACCTACAATTTCTAAAAATCTTTCTATGGTACAACCCAAACTTGTACCTATATAATGGTACAACTTTAAGTTGTACCTGCACTTTCCAACAAATCCCTCTATGGTACAACTCAAAATTGTACCTATACTAATGGTACAACCTTAAATTGTACATGCACTTTCTCAAAATTCTTCTATGGTACAACCCAAGCTTGTACCTATACCATGGGACAACTTTAAGTTGTACCTACACTTTCTAAAAATTCTTTTATGGTACAACCCAAACTTGTACTTATACCATGGTACAACTTTAAGTTGTACCTACAATTTCTAAAAATCATTCTATGGTACAACCCAAACTTGTACCTATACCATGGTACAACTTTAAGTTGTACCTACACTTTCTAACAAATCCCTTTATGGTATAACTCAAAATTGTACCTATAGTAATAGTACAACTTTAAGTTGTACCTACACTTTCTAAAAATCCTTCTATGGTACAACCCAAACTTGTACCTATACCATGGTACAACTTTAAGCTGTACCTACACTTTCTCAAAATCCTTCTGTAGTACTACCCAAACCTGTACCTATACCATGATACAACTTTATGTTGTACCTACACTTTTACAAAAAAAACTCTATGGTAACACCTAAAATTATACCTACACGCTAGGTACAATTTTGAGTTGTACCTACACTTTGTGAAACAAATTCTTCAATGGTACAACTGAAACTTGTACCTATACGATATGGTACAACTCTAATTTGTTCCTACACTTGTATACATTGATTCATTTTTTACAAGATTGTCATTATTGATGTGGGACCAGTCATTTAGTGAGTTTACCTCCTCAACAGATCACTTTTTTTTTGTTTTTTTATAACATGGGTGCTATAGAGCACTAGAAGGGCTCATAGAATCTCAAATAGGCCTGAGCTATAGAGGTTTGCCATATTAAGTTTTACAAAACTCGCATCTCTAATTTACTCAAAATTTGATTTATATCTTATAATATTCCATTGTGAAGATTCTGAGTATCACAGAATAAGTGCTAGTCCTGAGATTATGGAGGTGATGTTTTTATGAGCAAAATGTGACCCAATTTTTTTTTTATAAAAGTCTAATAAAATGTACATAAACAATCAATCAATAAATAAGAATCATTACAACATTATTTAAAATAATTCAAATAGTAAATAAATTAATTTTAATCACCTGAATAGGTGATGAAAACTTAATTGAATCAAAGATGAGAATATAGAAGAATCGAAGAGTATAGACAAATATTTAACACGTAATGAAACCCCAATACATAAAATTTCTATTTTTAAAGATTTAATTAAAACAAAATACTGTATAAAACTAATTATTAGAATTATTAAGCCCAAGATTAGGAACTGTTGAATACGAAAAAAAAGGGTTAGTTTTAATACCCGGGTTACTGTTCATAAACATTAATTTTTTAAATTGTATGTGGCCGTGTGTACGTAAGCCTATGGCCGAGTGTACAGGGGAAAAAAAAAGTGAAATGTAGTCTCTTGACCAGACGCCCCCAATAATTTGGTGGCACTGTGCGGGAGAGAGCTTCCTCACACATCCACAAGACCGGCCCTGCATAGAATCGTTGGCACACAAAAGATTTGTAATAACAAGGTGATATATCATCGGGGACGACCTTGAGGTGTGCTGTGAGGCCCTCAATCACATGCCATCCTTAGCCTCCATCATGTATAAGCCTAGTTTTTTTTTTTTTTTTGATTGATTGGAGGTGAGAAGCCGAATGGCTCCACTAGAGACAGCCAAAAAAACAAAACAGCCAGGGGGCGAGCAACCAGCCCCCGCTACCTAGCGCCCCAGCCCATCGCACGCAGGCCGAAACAACAAATCAGGAATCAGGAACAGGGGAAAAGAAAATAGGCCAAGGGGGGAGGCAAGAGGCTATACTTCCCTAACTGCCATTCGGGGAAAGCTAACCCCCATGAGATCTTCTCTGATAATCCGAGCTAACTCCAGGGGTGGAACTTCCAGTTCATACATACCGAAGGGATAGACGAGACTGTGCTTCGAGAGCCAGTCCGCGGCTCTATTCCCTTCGCGATATGTATGTCCCAGTTGAACTACCCAGTTTTCACCAAGGAAATGCCGAATTTCGCCGAGGATACTGGCATGTAGATGAACAGGATCGTGAGGTTGCCGAATCAATTCCAAAGCTAAAGCCGAGTCCGACTCCAAGAACAAAAACTGGATGCCGTGCTTCCAAGCGAGTTTCAGGCCCTAGAGAATGCCCCAAAGCTCAGCCAAAATCGCGGTACCTGAACCAATCCTGTGCACAAAGCCTGCTATCCACTCTCCATCGCTGTCCCGAATGATCCCTCCCGCTGCAATGTCCCCACTGTGACCTTGAGCTGCCCCGTCAGTGTTCAGCTTAAACCAGCCAGCTGCGGGAGGCGACCATCCAATGAGCATTTCAGTCCTGGTTGGTTTGTCACTCCTGTCAAGAGATCTGCTCGCCGATTCCCAAGCTTGAGCCCACTCTTTCGCTTTGGTCACGACGTAATTGCAAAGGGAAGAAGCAGAAAGGGTGTTCCCCCTAAAGACCTTCTCATTGCGCTGCTTCCAAATGAACCAAAGAATAAGACTGAAGAAACTTCCCCACTCACCTGGCCAAGAACCGGCCTCGTTGTTCATCAAGTTGCTTCTCAGCCACGTATCTCTGTCACTCGCCATAAACTGACCAATATGATCGGGCGGGATGATCTTGAACCAGATGATTTGTGCTCTCGAACAGTCCCGGAGACAATGGATGGCCGTTTCCTCTGTACCCTCACAGCTGGGGCAGCTGTCATCAGAAGTGAGGTGCCTGAACTTCCTTATACTGTTGGTGGTGATTTTGTTCTTGACTACCATCCACATAAAAACTCGGACCCTCTCCGGGACGTGAAGTCTCCATATACTCTTCCAAACAGCAGGCTGCTCGGATGTGGAAAAGTGAGGGGAAATAGCCTGAAAAGCCGTCTTAGTTGAGAAGGCGCCATTAGTTGTAAGTTTCCAACGCAATTGGTCCTCCTCCCGCGTCATCGGATGGAAGTGGAAGGCCCTTAAGGTTGCAATGGTTTCTTGGCTGAGATAGTCCTCCAGATCATCAAATTTCCAGCCTTGGTGCTGGTCCCAGTAATGCGCCACCTGAAGGGGAATGAGCTCATCGGGAATAGATTGGGTGGCCACCGAAATTAAGGGAACCTGCATCAACCACACATCCGTCCAGAATTTAGTTTTCATCCCATTCTTAATATTAAAAGCATAACCTTTGCGTAGTACCTCAGCCGAGTGGCTGAAACTACGCCAGGCAAAGGAACTTCCCTTTCTGGTTTTAAGGATGTCCAGCCCCTCCTTAGCTTGGCCATATTTCCCCTTCATGATTTGAACCCAGAGAGACTGGTCATTTGTCGCTAGCTTCCACGCACCCTTGGCAAGCATAGCTTGATTAGCAAGGCGTGTTGGGCGAATGCCAGCTCCCCCTTGACTCCTAGGTATAGTCATTTGCTCCCAAGCAATGGGATGGAAAGACGTTCTCCCTTCTTCATCTCCCCAAATGAATTGCCTGTTGATCCTGTCAAGCGAGGAGCACACAGAAGCAGGCAGTTGCTCGGTGAACATAGGATAAATCGACATAGAAGAAGATATGGACTTCACCATGGTCATCCGGGCTGCAATGGAGAGGTGTCTAGTCTTCCAACTGGCCAGACGCTTCTGGATCCTGATCGTTAGATCTTTGTATCTGGTCTTGGAAATTCTACCATTAATAGTATGAATTCCCAAGTATTTTCCCAAATCTGCAGTGATAGGAATACCAGCGCGGTCTCCAAGTCTTTGCTTCTTCTCTCGAGAAATGTTAGGGGAGATCATCATCGCTGACTTGTTGAGGTTAACCCTCTGGCCAGAGATGGTGCAGAAGTCATCTAGACATTTTCGAATAATGTCAATCTGCCGCCCTTCCGCTTCTGCAAACAACACCAGATCGTCAGCAAAAAACAAATGAGATAATTTAGGACCATTTTTCGAGAGCTGAAGGGGTTTCCACAGGTTATCTGAGACTGCCTGTTGAATCCTGTGAGAAAGGCGTTCCATACAGAGAACAAAAAGGTAAGGGGAGAGAGGGTCCCCCTGACGGACCCCTCTAGAAGGTATGATTTGATCGGTAAGCTCTCCATTCCAGTTTATACGCATCTTGTTTTTCTCAACACAGAACATGATACGGCTAATCCATGTGCTAGGAAGCCCAAGCTGCGCCAGGGTATCTCTGATGAAGTCCCATCTGAGTCTGTCATAAGCTTTTTCCAAGTCTATCTTGATCACAAGGCCTCCCTTTCTACCCTTCTTCTTCCTGAGCGAGTGAAGAACTTCATCCTCATCAGCGGCTTAAGGCGATTGGTGATAGCTTTGGTGATGATCTTGAGCCGAACATTGTTGAGACAGATCGGTCGAAACTGAGCTGGGCTTTCTGGACTCTCCGTCTTAGGAATCAGAACTACCGTTGACTCCAGCGCCTCCTCTTCAATTTCACCTGTCTCAAAAAACTTCACAGCCATGTTATTTAAACTTTTTCCAACTAAAGCCCATAATTTTTGGTAGAAGATGGCCTGGAAACCATCCGGCCCAGGGGCCGCAAAAGGTTTCATGTCAAAAACAGCCCTGTGAAAGTCGTTGATCTGAAAGGGACGCAAAAGGGTGAGGAGTTCTTCACTGCTGATCCGCGGAAAGCAATTTTTTGGCATCAAATCACTGTACACTGGATCATCCTGCGTATATAGAAGAGCAAAAAAATCCACAATAATATTCCGAAGGAGCGTCGGATCTTCAACCCACTCTCCATTCTGATTCCGGAGACTAAGAATTTTGTTCCTTCTTCTACGCCGATTGGCTTGTTGGTGGAAGTAGGAAGTGTTCTGTTCCCCCAGCTTCACCCAAGATTCCTTAGCTCGTTGGAACCAGATGACCTCTTCCTGAGCTAGAAGATCATCTAATTCTTTTTCCAGCTTGGCTTGCAGCTTGAACAGCCCAGGTGAAGGTGAAGTGGCTATTCGGAGTTGCACTCCTTGCATTCTCGCGAGAAGCCTTTTCTTGCGGTGCCCAATAATTCCAAAGGTGAGTCTGTTCCATTCTTGGAGTTTGTTGGAGATGTCTTTGAGCCCTTGATCAAGATCACCATCAATATTCCAGTTTTCTGCAAAGAACTCAGAGAAATTGTTATGCAGAAGCCAAGCAGCCTCAAACCGAAACGGTTTGACTCCACAATTAACTGATTGAGGGGCATAATAAGTCGTCAGGATGGGAAGGTGATCAGAATGGAGCTTTGGGAGTTGCCGGATCGAAGTGTTGGCAAAGGTGGTGTTCCACGCTGAATTGCAAAGACTACGGTCAATGCGGCTGGCTTTGAACGTGTTGTTGGAGTCACCCCTATACCAAGTAAATTGTGGCCCTGAAAAACCCAAATCAAGAAGATTAGCATCATTTATCCAATTTGAGAATTGCTGGCAACGTCGGATAGAAGCGCTTGAGGGAGGTCCAGCCTTCTCAGACAAGGATCCATAGGCATTAAAATCTCCTGTCACTAGCCAAGGAATCTCCAAATCTCGGCCAAATTGAATAAGGTGACTCCACAGAAGTTGATGGAATCTGTACTTGGGGCTTCCATAGACCCCTGTAAGGATCCAATCTCTCTGGGAGTTGTTGGAGACCTTGACAGAAATATGTTGTTGACTAGCATCAATTAGCTGGATTTGGAAATCGTTAGAACGCCAAGCCAACCAAATGCCTCCACTGCGACCATCAGCATCCACCCGAAGAACATCCCCATAACCCAAGCTGCTGCAAACAGTAGTGGCTCTATCTCCACTGATCTGGGGCTCGATGATCAAGAGGAAGTCAGGGGAATAAACTTTAATCAGGAGCCTCATAGCCCGTTGGAAATCTTTGCTTCCTGCACCACACACATTCCAGGACAGGACTTTAAAATTTGGGTAACTGGACATAGACATAATCAAGCTAGAGGAGAGGAAAAACTGGAAAAAAAAACCCAGCAAAAGCGAAAGAGAAACAGAAGCAATCAGGTCGCCGAAGTCGCATTCGGAGTGAGGGCCTGCTGGCTCGCATTTTTCACCAGTGTCCCCGAATTGTCCCGGGCCGCCGGCTCCTCCTCCATAAGCTCATCGCTGTTCCCAGAGGCTTGTTGGTTTGCGAGAGATGTTAATTCAGGATTGTTGTTGAAGAGGGCTTCAATGGCTTGGATGGTGATCGGAAAAGAAGGGTTCTTCACATTCCTGTTCAGCTCTCGTTTGAGTTCTCGCCTAGCAGTGGAAGGGACTATCACCGACTTTTTGCTCGGCTTGAGGTTTAAACCTTTCTTTTTCTCTTGAGTCGGCGATTTTCCCCCTGTTTTTTTCTGGTAGTGGTGTCTGATCGACGAAGCGGTTTGGTTGGGGTCTCCGTTTTCTTTCCCTGGCAGCCGAAGAGATGGAACTGCCACCACTTGAATATTGGTATTGTTTGGGCCTAAAATTCGGGTAACAGGCCCAATGGTCTCCGAGTCCAGTTGGTTAGTTGTCTCCTTGGAAGTGGGCTTTATGATGGCCTGACCATCCTTGGAGGAAGACGCTGCATTCGGCCCAATAGGGCGCCACGTCTGTTTCGACGAATTCTGGTGGAAATTCTTGCTGCACTCTGTCTCTTTAACTAGGGCTGCAAACGAGCCGAGTCGAGTCGAGTTTTTGCTCAGCTCGAACTCGACTCGTTTATAAATTACTCGGCTCGAACTCGACTCGAGCTTGAATGTAGATAATCCAGCTCGAACTCGACTCGGCTTGGAAACAAAATTATCCAACTCGAGTTTGACTCGGCTCGACTCGATCAATGCTTGATAACAAAACTTGTCAAGCTCAACACTAGCTCGACTCGAGATGAACTCGGCTTGAAATCTTTTTTCCTGAAATTGTGCAATATAATGATTTTAATTCAAAAAAGAAACACTAAAAACTACAACAAACTTCAATATCAACAAGAGAATGACCACGTTTACAATGGTACGTTTAATCCTTCCATAGCTTCCACAAAATTACATATCCAAAACTAAATACATGTTCTACGAGAACTCCGACACAATTACATATTCAAGACAAAATATAGGTTAAGGTTGAGCCATCATGCTCTAGGTTAATCGTTCAGTTGATTAACTACCAAAATGTGCTTCCTCCTACCAGATTCTGCAAGGGTAAATAAAAGAAAAAGAAAGAATGATTATCATCACCCAATCCATAAAAACAATATAATAAAAATATTATCAATCCATCCAAGTCTTACATCACACACTTTTAATTATGATCCATAAGCAACTATTTGACAAGAGTGAACAGATTTTGAAGAATAGAAACCCTACGTTTCAGATTTCGGGGCAGAAGCTCAAAAGGCTTCTTTGGTAGAATCGATAAGTGGTGGGATCGAAGGAATATCTGCAAGTCTCACAAAAAAAAGTAATATATGCAATAAAGAAATGGCCAAATGGGTGAAACGTTTGAGTAATGAAGTCTCATCTATTATTATTAAATTGTGGATCAGCCATGGTTTGGTTAGTTAACTAAACCAGATTCAAAAGTTAAACAATGACGGGACATGACATAAGTACTGGGTAAGTGTTCTGCTTTTTCCCAAAAAATAAAATTCAAACGTTAAATATTACAAGGGGTCAAGTTTCAAATTATTTAACTTTTAAGAGTGAAGTCACTTGTCACGTTAGGTGACAAAACACCTAATTTTGGGTTATTAAAGCCATATTTGCATGATTCACGCCATATTAGTGATGTTCACGTCATATTTTTGTTATTCACGTAAGAGTGTTGATTATTCAGGCAACCAATACTGTTATGTCACGCCACTTGATGTTGATTCACGCATATTGTTAATTATTCATGCCGTTGTAAAATACAATATTAAACTTTGAAATATATAAAAAATGGATGTCATTGTGTAGATTATGATCAATGCAACATATTTTTACAGATTAAATTATAATCCAAATTTAATTCCATAAAATATAGCATATACAAATTATTAGGGGGAAAAGGCCAAATTTTTATTTTCGTGAAAAACTTACTCTCTTACGTAAATCACCATAATATTACGTGAATACGCACAAAATTACGTGAATGAGTACAAAGTGGCGTAAATGAACTGATCTTAAGTGTTCTGTCACCTAACATGACGAGATGTTTTCCATGATTTAATCTTTGTTTCATGAAAATTCTACTCTAAGTTTTAAACGTACAATGCTACTTTTTCTATGCTAAGTTGCTAACTAATATGGGGATCAAATCCACGTAAAATTATAAGAAATACACTAGGTACAAAGATAGAAAAATTCTCATGACAATTATAAGGACAATTTTATAGTAAAAATACCTAAAATAGTGGTGATTCTTGTTAGAACTGATTGGATAATTGACAATGCAAGATTTTTACGTGATTCACTAACATAATGTGTGTTGGTTAGTCCACGGACATGAGAGTCAGTTTCACTATATTTGAGTAGATACAGATTGCAAAGATTGAAAAATTATATATAATACATTCTCCATACGTTCGCAACCTAATCCAACCTTGAAAAGAAAAGGTTACGTACCAATCCAAAATAGACAAACAAACATGTATAAACTCATACTTCTAGACAATTGCAAAATAGACAAACAAACATGTATAATCTGTCTTAAAATCATAGCTACAATTTTATTGACAATTATAGGAATTAATTTATAATATATAACTGGAGTAGCTAAAGTGAGGAGGAGCTGGAAATGACAATTGATTTATAGGATAATCTATTAACTATCTACTTGATTTATTTCTACAACTAACTATTTACTTTCTATCAAAATAGTCTTAAATTTAAAGGTGTCACGATTAGGAGAAACAAATTTTTAATGTTGACATGTGGATGATGTTGATTTGGAGGCTAAGTTGGATGCTAAAGAGCAACAATCAAGTTAAATTGCACATAGAGCTCTACGTGTTAAGTAGTCGAGTCAACTTATGAGATTCGAACAAGTCAATTAGGAAGCTCAATTTAACGAGTATTATAGTCGAGTTAGCTACGAGCTCTAAACGAGCCAGCTCGCGAGCTGAGCACTACGAGCCAACGAGTCAAGTTAGCTCGCGAGCCTGGCAAGCCGAGCATAGTGTAGCTCAAGCTTGGCTTGTTTGCTAACAAGCTAGCTCACGAGCTGGCTTGTTAAATAACGAGTCGAGTGTTGAACGAGTTTTTTTCGATCCGAACGCCGAGCGGCTCGCGAGCAGCTTTGTTCATTTGCAGCCCTATCTTTAACTGCCTTCCCTTTCTGGCTTCCATGTCGTTGCTCTGGCTTACAAGTTTCCTTCCCTTTACCTTCTTTCGACCCGCCCGTTGCTGTATGAAGATTTCCTTTTGTGGCTGCCTTGCTAGACGGGCGCCCCGAATCCGTATGTCCGTTGATTCGATTTTTCTGATTTTGCTCACCCAAAGGGGTAACTTTCCCAGATTGCTTCCGTGATTTCCTCGTAACTTGCATCCAGGGTCCATAGCCCGACGGTGGTTCCGGCGGTGAGTCCTCCGGCATGGATCTGCAGTCGCCGGTTTGGGCCACCACTATCTCCATGGCCGATTGAGATTTCCTCGATGAACACAAATCCTCTGTATGCCCAACACAGCCACATTCGAAGCAAATCAGTGGAAGGTTCTCATATTGCACGGCCTGCCAGAAACCATCCAGGTAAATTCGAGTTGGCACCGGCTTGGACATGTCCAATTCCACCGCAATTCGAGCAAATTTCCCCCTTTGCCGGTGCTCCGTGTGATAATCAAGCTTCACTGTGCGGCCGATAAGATTCCCCAGGGCAAACAAAACTTCCCTGTGATAGAAATGGACCGGCAATTCTGGGAGTTGGATCCAGGCAACAACTGAGCGGTGAGGTTTCTGCCCCGTGCGGAACGAAGGCGACCACTGGTGGACTACTAAGTAGTGATCTAGAATCACCCACGGTCCTCCGGTTAGGGCTGTTAGGTAGTCTTGCTCATTGCTGAAGGTCACTAAGAATGTATCATTGTTGAGATCCATGATGTCTAGATGTCCTGTTGGTCTCCACTTCCACCGTATTTGACTGCACAAGTAAGCATAAGAGATGGAGCGTCCTAAGAGCCTAATGACCAAAGTTTTCTTCCATGGAATACATAGCTTCTCTCTAAACTTGTCTGATATTTGCAGGGATGGCTCTCCCCCAAAGGTGCCAGGAATGAGGTCCTGTTCACCGACGAAAAGCCATTGGTTGGTTGTATCGGGGCTCCCCTGATCACGACCTGTGAGCGCTGATTTGAAATTCAGAGGTAATGTTGTTGTAGTAATCGCTTTCCCTTGTAGATTGTCTGGGAGATGTGAAGAGGTTTGCGGATCCGGCGGCCGTCCAGTCAAAGACATGTCCGGTGCCGGAGGAGAAAGATCAAGAGGTTTGCGGATCCGGCGGCCGTCCAGTCAAAGACATGTATAAGCCTAGTTACTACAACGGAGTATTGAGTATTGCTTGTGAATTTAAAACAACAAAAATTAATGCATTGGGTTTGCTTATGAATTTTTGCACAAATCATCGCCTTTGTGTTTAGATATTATTTGCTAGGTTTTCGTCTATAACTTTTTACACAAATCATCGCCTTTACCCACCATTTTGCAGACCTTCTCGACATACTGCTGGCTGGATCCTTAGTTCTTCCCCACCACCGTATTTAAGGCCGCTACCACGAGTTTTTTATCGGGACCGAGTTTCATCTTCTTTAGTGTTTTTTCTTTCTTTTTGTTGAGTAACCCAAACACATTAATTAATTAATATATTAATTAATATATAAATGCCAGGTTGTAGGTTACTATTCATTAGTGGCTCTCACACTCCTTCAAATACAAGTGGGAAAGTTTGAAGTCCTTCTTTTACCCCACTCTCCATTCTACAACCTTTGTGTTTAGTTATT